CGCCCCCCCCCCCCCCCCCGGAGTTTCCATTTGGAAGGGGGCTGTTTGGGTGATCCCAAACCTTGGGCAGGATTTTTTGGGGGAGAAATCCATGCTGGATTGGGAATTTTGCAGGCAGCAGTGCCCTTTGCTCCATGGGATCAATCATTTACCTGCCTCCAATCTTCACTTCATTCCCTGCCCTGGGATGGGGGCACGGGGGGAATCTGGGGGTCACCGGAGCGGGGGTGCCCCGCAGCATCCCTCTGGCTCCTGGATGCACCCCACCATCCCGGCTCCGCCTGGCCCCTTTCTCCGCCGCCTGGGTCCCCGTGCAGGGCTGGGAAAGCAGCCCAGCGCCTCCAGGAGAAGGAGGAGGGGTGGGGAGAGGCCATGCCGGAGCTTTGCCAGATGTGGGAAAGGAGAGAAGGGGGGACGCCTTTCCCGCTGCTTCCCAAACTTAGGGGGGACCCCCTTCCCCGGCCCACAGCCAGGACAGGAATGGCCGGGATGCCACCACTCGTCCCAGCTGAACGGGACAACCTTGGGGTGACTCCAGACCCCCCGTGTGGGTTTGGGGGGGGTTGGGTGGGTGCCGCTGGCGACCCCCCCCGCTCTCGCCCCCCTCCAATCCCGCATTGTTCCCGGCTCGGCGGGAGGAGGAGGAGCAGGGCCAAGGGCCAGCGGGAAGGCAGGCGGGAAGGCGGGCGCCGGGACGTGCTGGAGCCGCCTGTCATGTTGGTGGAGCTGCTCTTCCAGGCTGCCTGTGTGTCCCTGTTCCTCTCCAGCGGCCAGGGCAGGGTGTATCCCGCGAGGAAGAAGCCGGCCAGCTTTGCCGTAGAGAGGTAGCTGGATCCCCTCCCTTTTCCTTCTCCCTCTTCCAGCTACACCTGGGATGGGCAGCGTGCCGAGCTCCGGCTATCCCTGCTCGGCCGGAGAGGTCCCAGCCGGAGGGGCTGGCACCCCGCAATTCCCTCCCTCTTCCCAGGTCCAGCATGACGCTGCTCCCCGCATCCCCGTCCTTCTCCCCACATCCCTGTCTTGCTCCCCGTATCCCTGTCCAGCCAGGGCACGCTTCTCCCGTCACCACGTGCTGGGGTGTTCCGCATGGCTGGGAAGTGGTCGGTCCCTCTCTGTCCCACTTTATCCTCTGACCCCTGCCATGCTCTGCTTCCCAGTACATGGGCACGCCCTGACCGCTCCGATTGTCCTGTCCTAGCGTTCCTGGGACCTTTGCTCCATGCAAGGGGCTCGGGACAGTGTGGCCTCAGGCTCTGGTGTCCCACAGGCGCCGCGTGGGGCCCCACATCTGCTTCCCAGGCTCCAGCAGCGGATGTTGTCCCGGCTGGATGGTGTCCCCGGGCAGCGGGAAGTGCACCCTGCGTGAGTACAGGGGTCTGGGGGGGCTCGTGGGCTCCTGTTCCTATTGCCAGAGCTCCTATTCCCACAGCGCTCTGCTCCTTCGGCTGTGGCGGTGGTTCCTGCATCGCTCCCAACCTTTGCATGTGCCCGGATGGAGAGCAGGGAATCACCTGCCCAGGTACTGACAGAAGTGGCTATGCCAGGTGCCCTTCCCTCGCCACGCCATGAATCCCAAGGGATGGAGATGGCCATGAACCCGTGGGCACCGTGCCCAACCCTCTTCCCTCTCCATGCCACAAATCCCAGCAGATGGATTGGTGGCCGTGGCTCCTAATCACCTCTCCCCGGCACTGCCCCCTTCCATGGGGGATCCATGGAGTGGGATGGGAAGCAGCTGGTCCTGGGGTGGCATGGGTACCTCATGGACACTGTGTTTGTGTCCCAGAACCTCCGGGAACATGCGGAGAGTACGGCTGCGACCTGTCCTGTAACCATGGTGGCTGCCAGGAGGTCGCCCGCGTGTGTCCCGTTGGCTTCTCCATGGCCGAGACGGCCAACGGCATCCGCTGCACCGGTGAGCAGGAATGGCATTTCCCAATGGGAGTGGGCATCCTGATGGGAGTGGGCATCCTGATGGTGCCCACACCCCAAACCTGACCGTTCCCTGATCCCCCCTAGACATCGATGAGTGCCAGAGCGCGGCCTGCGAGGGGACGTGCGTGAACACGGAGGGCGGATTCACCTGCGAGTGCGGAGCCGGCCGGGAGCTCTCTGCTGACCGCCGCAGCTGCCGGGGTGCGCGGGGTCCCGGGGGGGCGGCCGGGGCTCCCAAGGGATCCTGACCCTCATCCCAACCCCCAGACACGGATGAATGCCAGGCCACGCCGTGCCAGCACCGCTGCGAGAACAGCATGGGCAGCTATCGCTGCTCCTGCCGGCCTGGATACCACCTCCACGGGAATCGGCATTCCTGCGTGGGTGAGCACCGGGATGGGGCCCTTCCCATCAGTCCCTGGGGAATGGAGGTGGCCCTGAGCCCCTGAGCACACACCTTTCCCTCTCCATGCCCAAGGGATGGAGGCGGCCACTGAGCCCCTGCATGTATGAGCACCATGCTCAACCCTCATCCCTCTCCATGCCATGAATCCCAAGGGATGCAGGTGGCCGTGAGCCTGTGGGCACTGTGCCAGAACCCCTTCCCTCATCATGCCACAAATCCCAGGGGATGGAGGTGTCCATCAGCCCATGACCACAGTGCTGCCGCCTCATCCTCACCCCTGTGTGGGCCATGCTGAGGGCCCATCCCGGTGCTCCAGGCTCTTTCCTGGGCCATGCCCTGGGGTGCAGCACCTCCTGCCACATTCCCTTATCCCACAGATGTGGACGAGTGCCGGTGGCCTGGCGCACGCCGCTCCTGCCAGCACAGCTGCCACAACATTCCCGGCAGCTTCCGCTGCTCCTGCCGCCCCGGATACCGGCTCAGTGCGGACAGGGTGTCCTGTGAAGGTATCCGTGTCCTTCTCCTGGCTGGGGGAGAACAGTGCTATGCTCCCATCTCCCTGCCTTCTCCAAATGATGTCTGTGCCTTCCTGATTTCCTTCCTAGGGTACCCTAAATCTATCCTGGCCCCGTCACCCATCCTGCAATCCCTGCAGCATCCACCCACCCTTGTCCTGCTCCCTCCTGGCTCCCACCTGCTCCCGAGGGGCTCCCCCTCTCCCCACCTCCCTGTGGCAGCTCCTGGTACCCAATTCCCTCCCTCCTCCCCATCCCTGTCCCCTGAGCCGTCCCCACGTGCCATGGGAGCCCCCAGCACCTCCATCCCACCATCCCATCGTTGTTGGCACCGGGGGATCCCTCGGGAGCCCGGCATTCGCTGGACAGAGCCAGGATGCCAGAGCTGCACCTGCCAGGTGAGCATCCTGTCCTCCCACCCCTTCCCATGGCACCATGCCGACCTGGGATGAGCCACCACGTGTCCTGGCAGGGGGGACGAGTCCTCTGTGACACTGTGAGCTGCTCCGTTCCCTGCTCCCACCCGCTTCCCGCTCCAGCTGGGGGTTGCTGCCCCACCTGCACGGGTGAGTCCCAGTCTCCTGATCCCCCAAATTCCCGGGATGGTCCCCCTTGAATTCCCAGGGTGACACCCCTGACCCCCATGGCTCACAGGGTGCCTGCACAAGGGGGTGGCCAGGGCCGAGGGCGATGTCTTCTCCCCATCTGATGGGAATTGCACCATCTGTGTCTGCTTGGTGAGCTGGATTGGGATGTGAGAATCCCCCCTCATCCCTGGGAACCTCCCAGCCCTGGAGACCCTTATCCCTGGGGACCCTCACCCTGCATCCTGGCTCAACCATGGATTGGGATGCTCTGGAGTGGATGACACCCTCCCATCATCCCTTCATGGGGAATCAGAGTCCTCTTTCCCAGCCCCATGCCCCCCTCCACAGGCCGGGAATGTCTCCTGCCTCTCCACAGAATGCCCCTCAGGATCCTGCCCCAGTCCCTCTCTGGCTGACTGCTGCTCCTGCAATCCAGGTGATCCCAGGACCCCTAGTCTGGGGGAGTGAGGACCTCCGGGCTGGGCTGGGGCTCAGGGAAGAGCCGTGTTTGGCTCTACAGCCCCGCTCCTTTCCCTTTTCCCAGATAAGTGCAATTTCCAGGGACGCACGTATGCACACGGAGCCCGGTTCAGCTTGGATGGGGACGACTGCACCACCTGTATCTGCCAGGTGGGTCCTGGATGTCCCCAAAGATGAGGATCCCCAAAGCTGGGAAGTCCCCAGGGATACTCCAGTGCTTCCCTGCACCTGCTGGGGGCATCCCAGCTTTTCTCAGGGCTGATGGTAGGGACAGCAGGTGACCCATTCCCGTGTTCCCAGGGAGGAGAGGTGGAATGTTCCTTCACTCCCTGCCCCGTGCTGGATTGTCCCCAGCACCAGCGGCACCTGGGTCCTGGGCAGTGCTGCTCCACCTGCCGGGACCCTCCGGCCCCCACTGGTGAGTCGGGATAAGGGACAGAGCTGGGAATGGGCAGGGAGGGACAGGGAGAGGGATGAGGGGGAAAAGCTGGGGGAAAGGGGAATGGCATGGCATGGGAAGAACATGCTGGGATAGATGATGTGGGGGACACTTGGGGATGGGGAGAGTGGGATGTTGGGACATTTGGGGGTGGGGTGTGGGGAAGGACAGGGTGGGATGAGGGGGAACAGCTGGAGACAGGGAGGGTGGGATGTGGGGATATTTGCTGATAGGAAGGGTGGGAGGTGGGGAATACCTAGGAACAAGAAGGGTGGAATACAGGGAACCCCTGGAGACAGGAAGGGTAGGTTTTATGGGACAGCTGGGAACAGGGATACTACCCAGGTTGCTTCCTGGATGACAATGGCGTGGAGTTTCCCGTTGGACAGATCTGGTCTCCAGGCGATCCCTGTGAGTTATGCATCTGCCAGGTGAATGAGAACCTGCTCTGCTTCATTCCCTCTTCCCTATCCCTGCCCTAGCGCACGGCTCCTGCCCCATTCCCACCCTCGGGATGCCCGTGGCGTGGCAGGCCCCAAATCCCCCAAATCCGGCGGGTTTGGGAATCCCGAGGTGTCCGTCAGGGTGTTCCCGCCTGCAGGCAGACGGCTCCGTGAGCTGCCAGCGCACGGATTGTGTGGAGACGTGTCCTTATCCCATCCGCATTCCCGGGCAGTGCTGCCCCGACTGCTCTGCAGGTGAGCGTGCGCCCGGAATTCCGGGATTCTGAGCCGCCCGGGGACCGCCTGAGCCCCTCTCCCCGCAGGCTGCACCTACATGGGGAGGATCTTTTCCAACAACGAGACCTTCCCGTCGGCGCTGGATCCCTGCCTGAGCTGCATCTGCCTGGTGAGGGCTGGGCCGGGCATTCCCAGAGGATTTGCGGCTCCCGCCCCGTGGGCTGAAGCCCGGTTTTTGGCTCCGTTGCAGGGAAAAGCTCCGGGGGCGCTCCGGGGTTCCTAACGCCCGGCCCTCGGGGGTCTCTCCCGTCTCTCGCAGCTGGGCTCGGTAGCCTGCTCGCCTCTGGAATGTGCCATCGTGTGCTCCTACCCCTTCCACCCCGAGGGTCGGTGCTGCCCCGTCTGTGAGGGTACGAGCCCGGGCGGGTCTCCCAAAATCCCACCGAGCCCCCCAAATTCCCCCCGAGCCTCCCAAAACCCCCTCTGGTCCCTGCAGACTGCAACTACCAGGGCAGGAAAGTGGAGAACGGCCAGAGCTTCATTCCCGAGGGACAGCCCTGTACCCGCTGCACCTGCCAGGTGAGACCTGCCCATTCCCACGGGATGCCCGTGTCCATGGAGCGCCTGTGCCAGTGCCACTGGATCCCAGGAAGGGCTGGCAGGGCTGGCTGATCCCTGTTTTTCCAGCTTGGAGAGGTGAGCTGTGAGGAGAGGCCATGTCCCCGCTCCTGCTCTGAGCCCCACACACTGCCCGTGGGCTGCTGCCCATCCTGCCCAGGTAATGGGATCCCCAGATCCATCCCCTGGCACCTGGATCTGACCCCTCCAGACTGGGGTCCTGGTGAAAGAGGAAGGTGCTGACCAAAATCCTCCCTCTGTCAGCCACAGACATCTGGCTTCTGCTGCAGGGCAGTGACCTGTCCCCATCCTCATCCCAGTCCCCCTCCTCATCCCAGTCCCCCTCCTCATCCCAGTCCCCATCCTCATCCCTGTCCCCATCCTCATCCCAGTCCCCAGCCTCATCCCTGTCCCCATCCTCATCCCAGTCCCCATCCTCATCCCAGTCCCCATCCTCACCCCCATTCCCATCCCAGTCCCCAATCCCTGAAGATTCACCCCCTGGCACCCCTCAACACCTCCGCTACCGCCTGGCCCAGCTCCTGCTTCCCACCACACTCCCCCTTGGCCCCTCTCCAGGAATTTGGGGTGCTGGAAAGCCTCCTCTGACCACTCCCAGTCCCTCTGGATATCCCTTGGCACCCGCTGTGCCTGCCGATCTCCGCTGTGAGGCCACAGCTCCCCCCGATCCCACGGGCAGCCCTGAGGCTCAGGGATCCCCTGGGAATGAGGATCCCTCTGCGGTGCCATCGGACAGCCCCAGGTTCCAGGTGCCAGGTGTGCCTGGAACTCTGTGAGGAGGACAAGGAGGATGAAAGAAAGGAGGAAAAGGGGGTCTGCAGGACCAGCAGGCCTGGCCCTGAGAAGGGGGAGAGCAGCTGTCCCCCTGCCACCAATAAAGTCACTCTGGTATTTATTCCCTGTCCCCTCCTCCCTGCACCCACCAGCACGTGGAGCCCTGGAGCTTGTCCTCTGGGAATTTTGGGATGAGCGGCTTTCCAGGGTGATGAGGGCAGTGCTGGAGGTGTTCAGCCCCCTCACCCTGAGTGGGGTTTGGGGACAGGAGGGACATGTCCTGCCCCAGGTCCCCAAGGCTGGGAGCTCCTCAGGGATGAGCAGAGCTACATCCAGGCTCCCATCCTCAGGGCACAGGGATATCTTTGGCAGCTGAGGGTGGCACCAGGGACACACCTCATTCCCAGGGATGTGGCAGCCTTTCCCAGAGAGACACAGCACAGAGGGGCTTCTCCACACCTTTATTGTCCTCAGTGCTGGCAGGAGCACTGGAAAAGGGACAAGCCCTGCCAGCCTCTGAGATGGGAACACCTGGGATTCCCACCCCAGCTCAGGGCAGCCGGGACAGCCCCACCTTGTTGTTGGCCCTGTCGAAGATGATGTAATATTCCCGGATAAAGACATCCCCCAGGATCCAGAGCTCGCCCTCCTCCGTGGGCACATCCATGCCTTGAAATCCCAGGGTGCAGTACCCGTTACTCTGCTCCGAGGACACGGAATGGGGTGGTCACCAGCTGTTGGATCCCTCCCTCTATCCCCACAAACCCATTCCCGGTGGGATGCTCACCCTTAACACGTAGGCTCTGGGTGGCACCGGGAATTCTTTGCCATGGATGTGGAAGATGAGGTTGGGAAGGTTGCTGACGGCCTCACAGCTGATCTGGGGAGGATGTGACAGGTTAGTGGCCATTCCAGCTGGGATCAAATGTCCTAGGGAGCATCCTGAGGCCTCACCTCACCACTGGAGCTGGCGCCAAGGAGCCTCATGAGGGTCCGGAAGGCCCGGATAGGAACAGCCAACAGAGTGGTTCCCGTATCCACGATGGCCTGGCATCCCCTGGAACAGGCCACTGCAGCCCCGTTGAAGGAGACACTGGGAAGAGGGATGCAGGGTGAGCCTAGACTCCCCAAAACACCAGCTGGAGGGCAGGGAATACTGGGAATACCTCTCCATAGAGATCTGCCAGTAGGTTTCGGCAGAGAGCGGGATCCAGGAGATGCCTTTGGTGGTGTAGTAGGGATCGATGGCACCGAAGAGGACAAAACTCCCACCTTGGCTGTCCCTGGAAAGGGGGATCCATGTGGGGTGGATCCCAGCCCGCCAACGCCCCCATTCCCATTGGAAAATGGGGCCAGTGTGAGGGAAAAGGGAAAAATCCTCAGCAGCTTTGGCTGGGATTTACCTGCTAAGGTAGACAGAGAAAAGATGCCTATCCACAAGGTTTTCCATCATCATGTTGTCGAAGACAGGGGTGGCTCCGGAGGAAGCAATGCTTGGGAATGCCAATCCCAGAATGCCATCAAAGGGGGTGTAGTAGAAGAAATCCCCTGGCTCTGTCTCGGCCAGCCCAAAAATCTGGTGGCGGACGTTGATGCCGGCAACCTGGGAGAAAGGAGACAGATGTGGGTTGGGCACAATCCCATGGGATCCCCATGGAATCCCGTGGGATGAGGGGGCTGGAGCGCCTGGCCGTACGTTGACGGTGTCGTATCCCAGGACTCCTGTCATGCTTCCTGTGCCGTAGGCGATGAACAGGGTGTCATTGGTGCTGAGGAATGTGGAGGATTCCGCAGGATTGAAGCGGTTGTGATTCCCTGTGGGGGTGGGAAGGACAGGGGTTGCCTGGGATTTGTCCCTTGGGAAAAACTGGGCAGAGCCATGCAGGACTCCCAAAGGACACATTCCAGCCTCATTCCAGACACCTACTGCAGGCTGGGCTGGAGCAGAAGACTGAGGGAACCCAGAGGTTGGAGGAGCCAGTATCGAACACCACGGTAAATTCCTGGGGTGGGGTCCCAATGGAGATGGTGCCAAAGTACTCATCCTGTTAGAATGGGATTGGGAAGGGGTTAATGGGATGGGGAAAGGAGTATGGATAAGGGGCTAAGGGGATGAGTTAAAGGGATGGGGAATGGACTAGTGGGATGGATAACAGGCTAGTGGGATGGGGAAGGAGCCAGTGTCCCCCCCGTGCTCCCTGATCCCAGCTCCCAATCCCAGCCCCTCACATCCATGTAGTTCTCCAGGGGCTCCACAGCGATGCCCGGGAAATACTTGGCAGCCAGGTTGTAGGGATGCTGCTCCAGGTAACTCTCCAGCAATCCCTGCTCCTGCAGCCTCTGCCGCAGCGACTTCATCCTCCTCAGTGGCACCCTGTGGACAAGGACCGGGATGCATCACCGGGATGCGCCACCGGGATCACATTGCATCCACCATCCCAGTTTTGGAGACCCCCTGGGGCTCACCTGGTCTGGAAGCCCTGGGCCAGGCCCACCAGGGCGAGGAGCAGGAGCAGCTTCATGGTGGGAGCTCACAGAAAATGTGCCTCCGATCCCGGCCCCGCTCCTTATATCCCAGCTCCGGTGTTTGGCCGGAGGCCCCGATAAGAAAGGCAAACTGCTCCTGGGATGGTTATCAAAACGTCCTTAAGGAAGGCAGAGGGGGAATGTCAAGCTGGGGGATCCCCGTATTCCTGGCACGATTCAGGCCACAGGTATGTTGGGATGGGCAGGAAGCACTCCCAGTTACTCTGTGGGAGCTAGTGGGAATGCAAGGCTGCTTGTCCCCTGAACCCTCTAATTCCTTGCTGGAGGGTTTGAGCCAGACACTTCCAGGAATGGGGCAGCCACAGCTTCCCTGGGAATTCCATTCCCAGGAATGCCTCACCACCCTTGCAAGGAAGATTTTCTTCCCAAATCCCATCTAACTCTGTCTTCTGATAGTAGGAAGCCATTCCCCCTTGCCTGTCACTCCAGGTCCTTTTCCAAAGTCCCTCTCCAACTCTTGTGGAGCTCCTTAAAGCACTGGAAGAGGCTTCAAGGTCTCTCCAGATCCTTCTCCTCTTGTCAAGGCTCCGTGAAGAATTTTCAGGCTGCCAGGTCCAGACTTTGCATTCTGGGAATCAGCCAGGGCTTTCTCCTTTTCAGCCCCCTACAACACATCCCACCCTCCTTTTCTTCCTCAGGGATAATCTGGTGTTCCATCCCTTTTCTCCCAACATCCCCCATCCAGGTTCTTCTTCATTTCACTCCCCCAGGGTAACCTAGCACCGTATCCTGATTCTTCTATCATTCCGAGCTGGGATGGGGCTGATTCCAAGGGAGGAATGCCAGCTCCAGCCTTAGGGAGCCTTTGATCTCCTCCAGGACAAGGTGACCGTTCCAGAACCCACTGATCCAGCACGTGGGGCTGTGACCAAAGCCAAGGTGTCCAGTCCTGCTCCGGTGACCTTCATCCAGAGGCATCTGGATGGAGCTTGGCTTTTGCTCAGCTCATCCCAGTTTTCCCCCAGTTTATGAACTTTGGATGTGGGAATGGAGTGACAGGACAAGGGGAATGGCTCCAAACTGGAAAATGGGATATTGGGAAGAAACTCTTACCTGTGAGGCTGGTGAGGCCCTGGAATGGATTTCCCAGAGAAGCTGTGGCTGCCCCATCCCTGGGAGTGTCCAAAGCCAGGTTGGAGAAACCAGCCTGGAATGTGTCCATGTAGATTTTGGAGTTACCAAGTTTTCCTCCTTTTTTTGGCCAAAATAGTAGAGAAAGTAAAAATATGAAGTTTTTCCAGAGCTATTTATCTATTGAATTCCCAGAACTGCCATCCCTGGGGATCAGGATTCCTGTTTTTCCAATGGAAAAAACAACATTATGGGGAGTTTTAGGACAAGCTTATTGTGCTGCTGGTAAATCCTATCAAAGCAGAGCAATGGATCCAACAGGGATGGATTTTTGTATGGATGATATCCACAAAAGGAAGAAGCTGTGGAATTCAGGACTGGGAAAAAAATGGGAATTGCTGTTTAGCACTAATTAAATCCAGAATAAAATCTGGGAGGATGGAAAAACAGCCCCTTTTAGGGTATGAAATGTCTTCCTTGGAGAGAAATCCTGGATTTTCCCAACTCTGGCGGGGAAATGGAGGGCGTGAGATGCTGGATCCTGGAATAATCCATCCCGGTGCTGGGAGCTCCTAGGATGGGAGCAGGTGGCCTCCCTGCCACAGCTTTCCATGGCACCAGAGGGCACCACATCATGCAGAGATCCCAAAACCCCCAGCTGGAAAGATGGATCTGAAAGCTTTTCCTCCTGGTTTATGCAGCCGGGGCCACATGAGGATTCCCGGGCAATAAAACCCTCCCAAAATTTAAGTGTTTACTGGGAAAATTTAGATTTTAAATGCCATTTCGATGTGGAAACACCCCTTGGGATGAATTTAACCTCCATGGGAATCACCCTCTGGATCAAACAGGGATTTTCATGCTTTTGGGACATCAAAACTTGTTCCGACAAAACTTCCTTAATTTTATCTCTGCAGCCTCCCAGAAAAAATCCCCTTATGGAGACAGAGCTTTTCTTGGAAATGGATTAGTGAAGTCAACTTTTCCAGGCCCTGTTCCCAGTTTTTCTTGTCCCTTCCCTAAAGGCTTTTATCACCCGGGTGCTTTATCGGAGCTGTCAGATGAAAGGATGGAAATCTGACGCTCCCGAGGTGTCAAATTTCCGGGATTGGCTTAAAAATATTTAATTAACTTATCAAAGAAGCCCAGGGATGTTGGCTGATCCTTGTGGGAATGGAATTCTGCGGAACAGGACCTCAGGGTGCTCAGGTCACCTTTCCCTACCTGCTGTGGGCGATTTTTGCTGGGATTAAGATGCCATCCAAGGGAAAAAAACATGTGGAACCATCTTTTGTGGAAATTAAGGATACTAATAAGCAGCTAATGGGAATATCCTTCCAAAACCACCCGTTTATCCCAAATTTATTTCTGGATAACACTTTTAAATGGGTATTTTTCCATTTCTTCCGTGCAAATCCAAACACAATATTCCCTCTCCTCAAACCTTATGTTTTCATATAAAATGTTAATTAAACATTTTCCACCTTTTCCAGGTCTGTGGAAACTGCTCCAAAAGAAGCCTGGAAAATGTTTTTTCCCCTTTGGAATGTCAAGTCCCTTTTCTTTCCCATGGCACTGGGGGTTTGACCCGGTTATCAGCCACACTGGGAACAAGTTGTCCTTGATTTATCCAGAATTATTTGGGATCATATGACTCTCATTTTTTACACAACAGCTCTCAGGTGACGGGATCAGAGGTGCCTTTCCCAGATCCCAGCACTTCTGGAACAGCTGGGTGACCTTGCCCAGACTTCCAAAGTCTCCTGAAGGAGTAGAAATCATGGAGCTCTTCCCCTGCCTCATCCTTGCGTGTGTTTTGGGAATGTGGAGTTACAGGTGGAAAAGTGGAGCATTTTCCAAGTGTACTTTGGAAAAGTTGGATTTGTGGAGTGGGTGATGGGACTGGAGCTTTCTCATGAATATTCCTGTGTCATGCCAGGAGGAGCTAACCAGGTATTCCGGAGGAATTTGCTTTGATCTCTTGGATGCAGCTGGAAGAACCTGGCATTTTATGAATTATTAGGATATTGGCCAGGTCTGTATGTGCTTCCTAAACCACTTCCAGCCTGGCCTTGGACACTTCCAGGTATGGAGCAACTGGAGCTTCTCTGGGCATCTTGCTTTGCCACCTGACAGGGTAGGATATATTCCCAAAATCCAATTTAAACCCGCCCTGTGTCCATGCGGAGCCTTTCCCCCTTCCCTGTAGCTCCACGCCTTCCTCCAAAACCCCTCTCCAGCTCTCCCGGAGCCCCTCGCACCCCGGAAACACGAAGGATATAATTCCTAGAGCAGCTACAGCTCGGGGAAAACCCCGCCGGTAACCAAAGAGCGATTATTGATTTTAAAATGCCATTAAATTGATCTGCGCTCCCGCCCCCCCAACATGGCGGCGCTGGGCGGAACCACCCCCCTCACGCCCGGAGGGGGGGGAAACCGCGCCTCCCGCCCCCCCCGGGTGGCCCCGCCCTCTTCCGGTTTATACCGGAAGCAGGAAGCAGCGGCGGGCGGAGGGTCCCGGCGGTGCTTTGGTGAGTCTGGGAGAGGGCCGGGAATGGGAATAACGGGAATAACGGCGGGATAACGGGGATAATGGCGTTTCTCCCGCCACGGTGCTCTCTGCAGCCCCGCAGGTGGGCAGCCCTTTGTGTCCACCTTCCTGAGCGCCTGTGGATGCTTCCCAGAGCCCACCCCAAGCTTTCCCATTCCCACCATTCCCGCTTTTCCCTCTTAAACTCCACGAAAGTTAACTAATACCCCCCTAAAAAACCCAAATCAGGCGATTTCTGCCCCGCACCTGCAGCGCGGGACTTAATTCCCAGTTTTTCCCTGGGACAGGTTTATCTGGATCGTGGATTGGGCAATCCTGAGCTCCGGCGTGGCTGTTGTGGCATTCCCGGTGTAATATCCTTGGGATGTTCCAGCTGGATGAGAGGTAGAAGAGCTGGGAACGAAGGCAGCCGTGCAGGTGTGTTGTGTTTCCTTGGTTTTTAGGGCATTCCCACATTATTCCATCCCATCTCTTGGAATTCACACCAGACACAGGATACTTGTTTAACGTATCAGACAGCTGGGATAAATAATAAATCTTGGATACAGTGCGGCAAGTCTGTAATTTCCCTGATCCTTTTTGTTATTTCACTGAATTCCATGGCAGGAAGGTGGAATTAGGTGATCCCTGAGGTCCTTCCCAACCCTGTGGGTATGGTGGGATATGGTCAGATCCCGGTTTCCTTGGTAGAATGGGAACCTGGGATGGGATGGAGTCTGGAATGGGATGGAGACATCCAGCTGGGATTTACAAGTCAGGGCGGTGGGTGGATTTCTTCTTGACAAAAAACCCTGGGACACACAAAATTCCATCCAAATCAGCTTGGGAAAGGGTGGGAAAAGTCTTTTCCCAAGCAGGAGTTAGTGGGAATGTTGTTTTACCCTCTCTGTTTATGGAACCTGGCACAGCTGCCCCGAAGACTTTAACAAGCCTGGATTTCAGTTGGAAACTTATTCCCAGTTGTATTTTGGAGTTGATTTGCCTCTTTTTCCGTGTCCCAGGAATCTGGGAGGATGGATACACTGAGGGACCGGACAGTGGAGGAGCTCCGGGAGCTGCAGGAGGATTCCCAGGAGATTGAGCGCTTGGCTTTGGAGTCCCAGGAGGTTTGTGCCAGGAGGTGGCTCCGGGGTGTCCTTGTCCCCTTCCCACACTCACCATCCCGAATTCCACAGGTTCAGGAGCTCCAGCTGGAAAGGGAGATGGCCCTGGCTGCCAACCGGAGCTTGGCCGAGCAGAACCTGAAATTCCAGGCGCCGCTGGAGACGGGACGCAGCGACCTGTCCAAGAAATACCAGGAGCTGCAGGAGCTGGCTGGGAGGTGCAGAGAGCAGAAGGAAAAGCTGGGTGAGCACTGGGATCTTCCTGCAGGAAGGCATATCTGCTTCC